TTTAAAGGCAGCAGCCCTGATAGGTGTGGTTCAGTTGGTTGGCTGTTCTTCCAAGGTGAGAGATAGCTAGTTTGATTCGGGTCATGGCGCATGCCTGGGTTGCAGGCTTGTTAAGGCTATAAGAGAGGCAACCAATCCATGTTTCTGTCTCACACTGATGTTTCTTTCCCTCTCTTTCCCCCTCCCTTCCCCTCTATCTAAAAATAAATAAATAAATAAAATTTTAGAAGAATAAATTAAGGAAGCAGAGGCCTGTGCAGGCTCTAGCAACATCTTCTGAAAGCAATATGCCCTTAGTATTTTAATGTTACTACGACAATATGTCTGACAATAAAGAGAAAACGACACACAGAACAAAGATCAGACAGGCATGTAATTAATGCTGATGTCCTTTCCCCATCCCAAGAAAGAAGGGTTACTTACATTCTCCAGGAGATAACATTTTTGGAGAAGAAACCCCGGCTCACCTGGAACTTGGTCACTCATTCCCTCCTCTCAGGAGAGTTCCAGAAAGTTAGAGCTAGCAAAAGAGAAAAAGCCATCAAAATCAAGTCCACCTTGCAGGACTAGGCAGTCCAGCAAGACAGCAAGGAAAACTCCCTCCGTTCCTGCTACCGTGTGAAACCCTCTCCTCTCTTGGGATGCCTTTCTTGTCTCCCCACGCGGCACCTCGCACACCTCTCTGTACTATGCTTAGGCTCAAACAGGCCGCACCCCCTTCCCACCTGGGTACATCCTGCTGCCCCTAGCAGCTCTAAAATATTCACGTTAGAGCAGTGGTAGCTCAGTGGATGAATCGCTTTTAGGGATGGATTTTTGTGCGACCGTCCTCGACCTGATTCGTTTCAGGAGTACTGGAGCTCAGATGCAACATTTTAGCGAGGACCGTGCTATGGGGACAGAAACCTCGGTCCGTCTCAAGGGCCCCTCTCAATCTCCAACGTCCACCTCAAAACCTTGATAGAAGGCCAGTCACTGGCCCGGAAAGGCCAATTATGAAGCCTGCAGTCCGAAGAAGGCCGGAGCTCAGGCTAGAGGAGGGCCCACGGAGAAGCAGGGCGGTCGCGGCTCCTAAGCACTCGTGCGGCCTGGGACGCTCGCCTTCTCGCGGCCACCCAGACAGGCTCTCGGGTCTCCAGCCCGGAACCTCTCTGGAACTCCCACATCTCCACTGTCCTATACCTCGGCGGAGGCGCCAGCAGCCAGACGCTGCTCACTTCCCCGTGAATCTAACACCTGATGGCTCAGGATCCTAGATTGCCACGAGCGTCTTCACCACGCCCGCCGCGGACTACAAGTCCCAGAAAGCGGAGGGAGGGTCACCGCCACTGGGTGTTCACACGTCCGGTGCCGGCGCTGCGCGGAGGTCCGATTTTAACTGCGCCTCGACAGTTCATTCACGTTATTAGTTTTTAAACTACAAGCGAGTAAGAATTATTTTAGGAATGCCCATTAATGTGTTTTTCATTTCGTAAACGTAAATATCACCCGTAATCTTGTCTTTACCCATAAAAACGTTCTGAACCGCTTGGCATTCTCATCTGCCTCTTGACATCCGTTAGATTAGTAAACACTTGAGGACCTACTGTGCCCAGGGACTGTTCGAGATGCTTAAAGAAAAATCACGTTGGATGTTAATAAATACTAGAGAAGGAAACAAGCCATAGCTGAAAACGGTATAGTGTATTATAAGGTCATATGTATTATGAAAAAAGTAGAGCTAGGTCAGGGATAGAGGGATGCTAGTGCCATTTGAAATAGAAAATTTCGGAGATGAGGCAGGGGAGTTGAGAAAATCGGTCACAAACCACTCAGCAATCAACTCTTCCTAGGATTTTTTAGTTACAGGTAGGAGGACTTGAGAGAAACGGGGCTATTCCATCATGGCTGATACCAGAAGTCCCCGTTTTAATTTTTCACCCATTCCTATTGCTGGTCTTGATGGATGATAGTCGTTGGCGCCAATTCAATGGCAGCAGGAATCCCCAGTTTGGGGTGTGGTGAAGAAGGAAACTTTGTTCAGTGCAAAACAGCTCACTTGTGATACAATACAGCTGTGAGGCAGCCCTGGGGCCAGGTCCCTTTCTGGCTAGACAGTTTCCCTCTCCTCCTGGCTAGTCTGCTTTGCCCTGTGCTGGGGACTTTTGGGAGGGGTTCCGGTGAAGATTAAGTTCAGCTGCTTCTCTTCCTGGCCCTGGACCACCTGGTAAGAGCTGTGAATTGATTTTGGGTTGGTAGCTACCTGTGCTGGGTTTGGAAATACCTGGGAGAGGCTGTGCTATGATCTGACGCTGGCTGCCACCTGTGCCCCTGTGCCAGGGTTGGGGCTACTCTGCAAGGGGCACTGGGCATGCTGAAGCTAGGTTCTGCTTGTTTGGGCTTTGTGGACATTTGGGATATTTGAGGAATGTCTGCAGCATGGACCAAGGCTGGTTACTTGTGTGGAAAATCTGCTGAAATTGGTTTAGACTTGTGCATGATTTGGGGGGTGGGTGTGGGTGGGTAGTGTCTTAGGGAATTCATCAAGGTGCAGAGAAAGGTGTTAGCCAGGTTGACAGACACTCAGATTTGGTGCCTGCCTTCACCTGCAGGTGGGTGTTGGAAAGTCTCAACAAGATAACAATGGTGACTTCCAGCACTTCCTACGGTGCTGGCCAGGCTGTGTGTAGGGTGGGCTCAACAATGGACAATGGTGCCAGACAGTAAGTATTTCTGCTGCCTCTGTAGCCCCCACCCTGAAGTCAGAAGATTCAGTTCTTCCTTGTATGTCCCTGGCACTTTGCTGTTCTTTTGCTGGAGCTTAGAGCTAGTGTTTATGAATGTTTGCTCAGGCTTTTAAAAAGAAAGCCTGAGTCTACTAGGTGGCCTTCAGCCTTACCCAAATAGAATCCCTGCTGATTTTTCACAACCAGGAATTGTGGGGACTCCTCTTCCTGGTTTGGGTGCTCAGAGCTGGGAAGCCCAGTGTGGGTTTATTAAATCCATTGCTCCTTAGTGGGGGATCCTCACACCCAAGATATCCATCCCAATCCTTAACTATCACAGGTGGGATTGGGAACAGCTTGTTTCCTGTCTCTGCCCTTCTTACCAGTCTTGAAGTTGCTTTTTTATATTTTTGGAGGAATTCTGTTCAGCTGGTATATAGGTAGTTCTCAGGAGTGGCTGTTCTATAATTTAGTTGTAATTTTGATGTGGTCATGTGAGGAGGCAAGCACAGTATTTTCCCATGCCACCATCTTGACAAAAAGTCCTCATCATTCATTTTTTAAAATTACATAAATATTGGGTTGGCCCAAAAAGTTCATTTAGTTTTTGATGCATAATGGCTCTAAGTAGTGCTTAGTTATCTTTAACTTATTCAAGACAATTTTGTTAGATGTATCATGGCAGTGGTCATATCAATGTACATTAAAAAAATCAAAATTGGTGAATTTCTGTGCAGCCATTTTAATATTGAAGATGGAAGAAAATATACAATGTTTTTGGTGTGTTATGCTGTAATATTTCAAGAAAGTAAAAATGCAATTGAAACACACAGAAAAGATTTGTGTAGTGTGTGGAGAAGGTGCTGACTGATTGAATGTGTCAAAAGTGGTTTGCAAAGTTTCTTGGTATTTTTTTAAATCTTTTTTTTATATTTGTAGATTTTTTACAATGTTTTTTAAAAATATTTTATTTATTTATTTTTCGAGAGAGGGGAAGGGAAGGAGAAAGAGTGGGAGAGAAATATCAGTGTGTGGTGGCCTCTCATGCGTCCCCTGCTGGGAACTTGCCTGCAACCCAGGCATGTGCCCTGACTGGGAATTGAACTGCGATACTCTGGTTCGCAGACCCGCACTCAATCCACTGAGCCATGCCAGCCAGGGCGTTTCTTGGTACTTTTGACATTTTGGCCAAGTCTTTGCTGTGGGGGTGTCTTATTCATTAGAATATGTTTAGCAGCACCCCTGGTCTCTACCCACTAGAAGGCAATAGCAGGAGATAGCTAACATACCCAAAATATCCAAATCAATAAAGTTATTGGTGAAAATGAATAATGTATCTTTTATTTTATGGAAAAAACCATGCACATGAAAATTTATATAGATGACTAAGGTTAATAAAAAAGGAAATTCCTTTGAACCAGTTTCTTCTAATATCCTTCAAGTTTCATCCACTAGAGATAAAAAAAAAAAAAGAGATCATCCTTCAAAATTTCTTTGCTTGTCTGTGTATGTGTAGGAGGAAGACAATAGTATTGTTGGAAGATTGTACCTTCATTATTGACTACAAATCTGGTCTCAGAGATAAGGATAGTCGTGTCCTTTCTAGGTGACCTCAACCATGAGATACTGCTACTTTTGTCAAAAAGGGCATTGTGAATAGCATTGTGTCTCCCAAGGAGGAGCTAGTTTAATACAGGGCATAATAGGCTTAGGATTCTCAAAAAATTGATTTTCTGCTCTTATCTCAGTACTGGAGGACTGAAGTAAATAACAGTGCACACTGACTTCAAATCTTTGTAGGCTTAAAAAGGAAACTTCTTTTTCATAGTTTTTTTTTCTTTTAATATTCTACTTATTTATTTACTGTTTTTAGAGGGGAAAGGAGGGAGAAACATCAATGTGTGGTTGCCTCTCTTGCACCCCCTACTGGGGACCTGGTTTACACCTAGGCATGTGCCCTGACTAGGATTTGAACCCACTACCTTTTGCTTTGCAGGTCTGACTCAATCCACTGAGCCACACCAGTCAGGGCAAGGAACCTTCTTTTATAAAGAAAGGCTAGAGTCTCTGCTATGGACACGACGATATGTTAGAATAGGTTTTTGAGGGGTATCATCCAGCTAACATAATATTCAGTAAGAGTATTATTAGAGTAGTTAGATTTAACTCATCATTTCTACCCAGACTTAAATACAAAAGATTAATTTGAGTATGTAGAGAAGAAAAATCTTGAAATTGATAAAAGGATTTTTTAAAAAGGCTGATGCTGTCAATTAAAAATATAAAATCTGTATCTGCTACGCACAGAACAATATCTGAGTGTGTACTAGATTAATGAAAGTACCTTGGGAAATTAGGTCAAAATAAACTGACATAAATTATAAAATAAACATCATGATGATGATGATAAACAAGACATTTATTTTTCATATTCATTTGGAAAAAAGAAAAGTCAGTTTGTTCTACCCAATGATGGTCTTTCTGAGAGTCTCCATTCAGTCCATAGAACTGGATAGTCCACAGATGATTTTATACTCTTAATTCAGAGTTCCCTTTGGAAAATGTGGTTAAAGGGTGAGCCTTTGTGAGCAGGTTCGCTGGTGCACCGCCAGACTTCCTCTCTGAGTGAAGCTTTTCCCACATTGGCCACATAGATATGGTGTTTCTCCTGTGTGGATTTTGCCATGCAGGATACAATTTCCCCTGGTATGGAAACTCTTCCTGCACTGTACACAGGCATATGGTTTCAGGCCTGTGTGGACTCTGATGTGAACAATTAAGCTTCCTTTCTGACTGAAGGCTTTTCCACACTGATCACATCTATAGGGCTTCTCACCACTGTGAACTCTTCTATGAACAGCAAGGTTACTCTGGTTCCTGAAACTTCTCTGACAAATAGCACACTTGTAGGGTTTCTGTCCAGTGTGGAGTCTTTCATGAACAGCCAGACTACCTCGTTGACTAAAGCTTTTCCCACACTCCTTGCACTGATAGGGCTTCTCTCCTGTGTGTATTCGCTGATGTGTAACAAGATTGCCTTTGGCCCTGAAACTTTTTCCACAATGAGTACACTCAAAGGGCTTTTGACCAGTGTGGATTCTCTCATGTAATGTTAGACTACCCTTTTGCCTGAAGGATTTTCCACATTCCTGGCACTCATAGACCCTCTGTTTCACTCCAGGTGGATCTTCCTGTAGTGTCTTAAAATCTGGGGATTTTTGCTCCAGCTTCTCTCTTCTGAAAGAATTCTGGAAATCCCAGCTTGAAGATCCTGTGGCCTCAGAGTGATCATATTTGTGGTGGGCCTCTGTCATCACATCTAGTAAAATGAGAGGGAAGTCATGTAAAATGCACCAATATGCTGAGTGAGAACAGGGAAAAATAAACGATGCTTTGTTGAGTGCTTATTATATGCCAGACATTATACAGTGCACTTTTCATAAATAATTTAACCCTGAAAACAATCTTATGAGATTGCTACAGATGAGGAAATGAGAGCATAGGGAGGTTGTCAAAGGTCATGCAGTAGATAAGCATAGAGTTGGGATTCAAACACAGGCATGCTCCACAGCAATGTATTGCCTCTGCACTGTTTCATTTAGCCTCCCAAATAATCTTGTGAGGTAGACATAAATATCTCCAGACTCAGAAAAATCAAGAAAACTTCATAGGATCACACAGAGCCTCAATGCAATTTTAATTGACTTCAATTAGGTGAGGACCCAGGTTGTGTAGGGGCTAAAGCTTTACAATTTTAAAGGCACTCCATTACAAAAAAGTTATAAAAGAAGGAACAGGACTTTGCAGAGACCAAAGCAAGAGAGGAATTCTGAAACTTAGATTTCATTAGCTTCATAAGAAATCCTCTTCTGTACTAGTCTGCTTTTTTGACAGTGGAGTAAACTCCATGATGTCAGAAAATGTGTAATAGAATCCTGGGCACATTACACCTATTATCTCTCATTCCTACTAGCCATGAAGGTAGAGCTTATTGTCCTGTTTTACGGATGAAGACCCTGCAATACAAGGAAATGACTTGTCTGATACTATAGATCAAGTCAGAACAACTATAGATTCTGACCCAAGGAATTTTTCCCCTTTAAAACTCATGCTACTTCAGTTTACTATGCTATGGTGGAACTGAAATCAATTTGTGTTTGGAAGTTATTCTCAAGCACTTCTTATGCAATGACTGACAGTATTTTCCAATATTGCCTTGTATCTGAGCTGCCTACTGCCCTTTAAATATGGGTCCAATTTATCACTATTAACAGTTTTCTTGGAGTCATCCTAAGGAGATTTTTCTAATTGTTCCTCTGCCTTACCCTTTTTTACTCTGACTGCAATGAGATTTAAAGCTGTTTATTCATTCTCTGAGAGACTACCTCAAGTTTACCTCCATATCAGCATTGTCCTTTTGCTGTTTCTACTGTTACTTCTGACACCAACTTTCTGGGTTTCCCTTTAGTCCCCAGAAGGATAAAGTCCATCAAAGGAATGTCTCCTCTGTGTCCTTACCCTGCCAACCAGTGCTAAGGACAGAGACAACGGTCAACTGTCCCTGTGGACAGGAACAGGACTCACTCACTGAAAAATGCTACATTCTGTGCATATCTTCCATGACAGTCCAGCAGGGTAGCTGTTGGAAATCCAAACATGTCCACTCCTGCTGTAGGACCTTAATCACCACCTCTTCATATAATGCTTCCACAGGCTGTTCTTGAGCACCTGAGGGAGGAAAACACCAACCAAACAAAAACAAAACAGAACAACAAAAACAGGAAAAAAGCATGAGAACTGGTGAATGAAAAGATTTAAAGTCCACAGGAGCTCCAGTTTGGGGTATGAGTAAATGGAGGAACTCTGGATGGCCTGATGTAACAGTTGACGTATAACATGTAACAGCAAAAATAGCCTTAGAGGTACCATGACCACACACAAATGAGCCCAGGAGGAAGCAGGAGGTAGAAAAGCAGAGAACACATAAACACATCTCTCTCTTTTCTGGCCAATCCCTAAGATAATAGGGACTCCTATCTGATCCTTAGCCTTGGCATGTGATTAGAATCTTCCAGTTTCTTCCCCCATCTAACCATCTGCTCTTTGGATAGTCTCCAAAGGAATTCAGAATCTATAAAAGTCAACATTCAGCCTTCATGATTGGTTCTACAATAGAAATGGCTGTAGCTCTCCTCTCTAATTTCCCCTAAGTTATAAGGAGAGAATAAGTGATTTCGTATGCTACCTTTAAACCATTCTTAGGAGGCTCCAGATCCAGATCTTTCCCTCTCTTTAAGATATGAAGATAACAGTTCTAAGAAAAGTGTAAATACTTGTCAATACTTGGAAAAGGAAGAGCTACTTTGTACTCCAAAACCAACTCCAAGGCATTCCAACTACAGTGAGTAACTTGCCCAAATTCTTAGAGCCAGTAAAAGGAGTCAAGGTGGGAGAAAGATTCAACTCCAAGATTTTCTGGATCCAAAGCCTATACTTTCACACTAGATAGTTCTCTAGTTCCTCATCACTACGGAACTAGCGGATTTTTATAAAATAGAGCAGAATAAAACAGGGCTTGGAAAGACTTTACTACTCCTCTAGATCCTATTATACTATATTATCTTTTTCTTTGGAATATTTTCTTCTTACTTCTGGATCCTGATTACTGCATTCTTATACTTTATACAGTGGTTCAGTGTATAATCTTCATTTCATCCTAATACGTCTCATCAAAATGCTAGCCATCACCCTGGTCAGGCGGCTCTCAGCTGGGTGGAGTGCTGTTCTGTACACCAAAAGGTTGTGGGTTCCATTTCTGGTCAGGGCACATACCTGGGTTGTGGGTTCCATCTCTGGTTGGTGTGCACGTAGGAAGCAACCAATTGCTGTTACTCTCTCATATTAATGTGTCTCTTCTCTTTCCCTCCTCTCTCTCTTAAATCAATAAACATATCCTCCAGGGAGGATTAAAAAAATGCTAGCCACCTGATTTAATGAAATAGCAATGTGATGCTACAATTCTTTGTTTTGCTAACTGAAACACCTGGTCTTCTTGTCAACTGTACATTCTGCTACATGTTGTGGTGCCTGAAGAGGCATTTTAAATTCTTATTTGGAGGTGTCACCTCCAATTTGGAGTACAAGCTACAAAGGAATCCCCTATTAAGAGTGCCAGAACGCTACAGGACATTAATTTGGAAATTCAAGGTATTACTGCTCAACAACTGCACATCCACCAAGAGTCAGTGGAAAGTACCTGGTACTTACTGCCTGAAGTTGGAGTCTGTTCCTGGGGAATCCAGCAAATAGAGCTTGGTCAGAACAAGTAGATAGTACTTACAGCTCTGCCTCTCCACATACTGTAAGATATTCAACAAGTAACAAACTCAGTTGTATCTCAGGGACTTCCTTGATTAATAAAGGGGAACTGTCATTTTTCTCCCTAGATCACATGTCTGAGATATTAATTTCCTGAAGATTTTGGAGAAAGTGGCTTTATCATAGCAAATATTGCTTTTCCTTGCAGAAAAGCCATTTATCCTGTGGAAAAGTTCAGAATTAGGTCATGAGACTTGGCTCCCCACTCCCCTATGTGACTTTGTGCATATAACCAAACATCTCTGACTCCATTTCCTCACTTAATAAATAGATTAATAACAGCTTCATGTCAAGTAGTTCCTGGGAGAAAAAGAGAAAAAATGTGAAGGGTCTCTGACAATACCTGTAGGTTTAAGGTCTAAACTTCAGAGTCCCCAAAAGGAGAGAACGAGAAGAGAGGATGACTGCTGTGTCTCCGGAAGCTCCTGGGGGACAGATAATTTCAGGATACGGAGATTCTGGGTAGGGAAGATTATATTCTCCACACAAAATCCACTTTGTCCTTTCTCCCATTCATTCTCCCTAGAGAGAGTGCAAAATCTCCTATCCATCCTCTGAAACCCTCACTGCTGGTCCAGGATGCACCTGACCGCTGCCCCACATCCCCGCCCCGACCCCCATCCCGAGACTGCAGGGTGAGGGGCCTTCCAAATGCCCTACCCTGCCGAGCCCCGGTCCAGGAACCCCGGCCCCTTGGAGCAAACTCTCCCTCCATTCTGAACATTGCCACCCCTGGACCACACGCCCTGCGTGCTGGACCTCAAGCCCCTCACCTCCCTCCTCCTCCGGTACAGCTGGACTCCTCTCTAGCCGCAGACTTCTCCCCTCAGGGCTTGCTCCTTCGCAACTGGCAGGCCTGGCCTGCTTCAAGCCTTGGAGGCGATGGAAGGGCCAAGCGGCCGCCTGCTAGCTAGACCCCGACTCGCCTGGGGGCACTGACCTGCCAGCAGCCTTACTGACTACGGCTGCGCAAACCCACACGCAGACAAAAGCCAGTGCGGCCTGCTGCAGGGCCCGTGGAGGCAACCAGACTACAACTCCCAGGAGGCTCTGCATAAACCCACCCGCTGGTCAAAGACCCCGGCGCCCAGCTTCTCCAGAGCACTGTGGGAAATGTAGTTCCTCAGGGTGTCCCAACACTCCTCCTGAGGTGCAGACTTGTCCACAGACTAGAGAGCCAGGCGGAATGGACATCCTGGCTCAGCAGATAGTGGTCTTGCAGGGTACCGTGGAAGGAAACAAAGTCTTGGGGAGAAGTTGGTTGATAAAGCCTTGAGTGCTTATAAGGGGGTTGGGTTATGTGTAAGGGTTATGCATTGAGCCACTGTGTTAAAGGTTAAACCTCTCTTTGGAAGGTAGATTTTTGGAAATGAATCCCATCTCCTTTACTTGTTGCAAGTAAATAAAACTACCTTGTAACAACCACTGCTCCTTCTTGAATAGAACAGCCCAAGCAGTAAACTCATTTGGGTTGGTAACAAATTTGGCAACTCCATGTGGGACTCTCTGAAAAAGGCTCCCTCCCTCTTGGCCTTGTGTGGATGCTTGATGAAGAAGTTGGCGGTAGCAGCCCTCTGGGGCTTACCCAGTGGGAGGTTTCCCCTTGGTGCTGACCGCCAGAATCGCTGCCTGGCTGTGGACAACTGAATCTGTTTGATTCAGCGATTCAGAAGGGAGGTGGGGTAGTCGCTTTAATTAGCGTTTTTATTTCCGTTTTGGGAGCAGGGTATCAGAAACATAGTTTCAGTCCTGGGGCTTGCTTGTTTTCTGGTTGGTTGGGCAGGCACTGTCGCTGGGAAGCCAAATTCAGAGCTTCACCTACGCCTAACTCTGTTCGGGGAATTGAGCAATGCGGGCTGGGAAATCTGAGACAGGGGTCCCCAACCCCCAGGACGTGGACCTGTAAATTCAGTGGCGAGCCAGGGAAGCTTCCTTTGAGTTACCGCCTGAGCTCCTCCTCCTGTAACCCCTCCCCTAACGGTGGAAAAATTGTTTTCCACGGAACGGGTCCCTGGCGCCAAAAAGATTGGGGACCATTGATCTAAGACATCCTCAGGTGACAGTTTCTTTGGTCTGGTTATGAGATGGTCTGTCCTGTAGGAGTTGGATTTTGTTCTTTGTGTGGCCTTGTTTGTCTTGTATGTAAAAGTACTGGACTTGCAAAATGAAACAGGTAGAATCAACCACTTGTATTTATTTTGAATAACAGTAGCGAAAAGTTTCCTCTTCTGACCACAGTGTTGGAGGAAGGTGAAAATGATACAGGGTGCAGACAGGGGGGCCCCCCAAAAAGATTTAGAAAAGTGTCCAGAATTCAAAGTGTATAGGAATATTGGAGAGACATATAAGATGTCCTCACCCCCCCCCACAGGGGGGAAGAAAGAATGGAGCCAGGCCATTGAGAGCTATTTTGCATAGCAACAGTTTTGGAGCTAACCTCCAGAGGAATGGTTATTTAACATATCTATAACCTTTAACTGGTTTCATAGATATGTTAAATAGCAGTGGCCAAGTTTGGAGCCGGGAAGAAGAGAGCAGCTTGGGGTCTGAGAAGGAACTAGCAGAGACTCAGAATGTAACTAGGGGCTGCTCTCCTGAGGGAGAAGTTTGTGGCAGGGACTCAAGATGGGAACTAAGGGCTGCTCTCTGGAGGGAGAAGGGCTTGGACTCAGAATGTAACTAGGGGCTGCGCTCCTGAGCGAGATGGCCTGGGTGAGAGCTTGGAAAAGACTGGCTCCGAGACATGAAGGGTCCCCCGCTTGGCCAGAGAGAGAGAGCCACGCGGTTTCAGCAGAGTGAGGACCCCCCCTGTTGGTGAGGTGAAAGAGGGAGCCACGTGGTTTTGGCAGAGTGTGGAACCCCCTCTTTCCCAGGTGAAAGGGAAAAACCACGCAGCTTTGCCAGAATGGAGATCCCTGCAGCCAGGTGAAGAAGACAGCCACATACTTTTGGTGGAGTGCGGACTCCTGCAGCTTTGGTAGAAGAGGCCCACGCGGCTTTGGGGTGCCCCCTTTGGCCGCGGGGCCTGAAAAGCAACAGAGACTTTGACTGGAACTGGGTACAAAGGACTCTTGCCAGTGGACCATGAGAGGGGACCACAGTACTTTGGATTAACTCGAGATCCTGCACGGTGACACAGCTGACGGTGCCAGCGGCCCTGCAACACAGACGTGTGCTCTTTTCCTGATTTACGGTACCTGGAGTTGGGACAGTGGGAGAAGGGGAGCGCTTGTGTGGGTGTAGGTGTACAACCTAAAGGACTTTGATATTTTAGTGGTGGCATTAGGCCTGAATAGCATTAAATAAACACTTTGTTTCCTTTTCACAAATCTCTGGCATTAAGAGATGTGTTTCCAATTGGCGGCGGACAGAAGGGCCCAGTAGATTTTAATATTTTGGTTTTTGGGAGGGGCCCCTGTTGTATAGCAGTTTTGGGCATCCCTAGGTGGGCCAAATATTGTATTGCCCCTCCCTCAGACGACCTCCTCTTGTTCGGTAACAGTTTTTGGCGACTCCGGTGGGATGATAATTGTCCGTGGCAGACCGACCCCCTCAGGTGCGAGAGAGTGAGGCTTTGGAATTTTCCCAGTCTCTGAGGATTTCTCTGCGCTCTTGAGGGCATCGGCCGCCTAATCACGCCTGGAAAGGTGAAAAGGAAACGAAATGGGGAAGGGAGCAGAGAGGTGAAAGTGTTTGGGGTTGAAAACTTGGTTTCTGACTGCTCTTTGGCAATAATGGAGCTGGAATTGTGGGTGAAAGCAGGGGAAATACCTGATCTTTATGCCATCTGTATTCTTTTTGTTCTGAATCTTTGTTTGCTTTGTTGGAACTGTATGAGTAGTTCTACAGAGAAGTATGTAATGGTTCAGAAGGAGAAAGGGGTCTTAGAACCCCTCCCTGATAGATCTCAGGAGGAGAAAGATGATGAGGAAAGAAACCTCATTAATGCTCTGAACCCAGGGAATGAGGGACCCCAGACAGCGGTAACTCCCGTGGCGACACTGCTTTCTGGGGAGGTGAGGCCCACTGTAGCTTCTCCTGCCCTGCAAGTGGGAGAAGTCTCCACCACGGATTTGCAGCCTCTGCAAGTGGGCTCTGCTCACCCACCACAGCAGGGGTTGCCAGGAGCAGCTTTGGCTCCCGAAAACGGAGCTGCAGAGCTCCCACCGTCACAGGTGAGTGGAGCCTGCTCTCCACCTGCATTGGTGACTGCAGCCTCAGTGTACCACCCCCGCTGGGCAGAGGGTAGCTTTGTGGTGTCCCCTTGCCCGCTGGTGGAAAGGGCCTTGGGGGCTTCCAGGGCTCCTAAAACCGGAGTCCTGGAACCTTCCCAGGTGGGTGGAAACAGAGTCAGGGTGCTGCCATTTTGGGTAAAATGGATGAGCCACGTGAGTGCCCCACCATGGAGGACAGAGCATGCATGGGCATCGCCATCTTGGATGACCCTGCATGCATGGGTGCCGCCATGCTGGATGACTCCACGTGCATGGGTGCCGCCATCTTTGAACTGGCTAAGGCTTCTCTTCTGATTTATAGGGTGTATGCTGCTGCTGTGTGGACAATGCAGCAGTCAGGTTTTCTGTGTAACTGGTTCTGATAGTAATGGCTCTGGTTTTGAAGGTCATGAACTGAGGTCCAAGAGTGACCATCTGATTTATAGGGTATTTGCAAGGTCTAAGTTTCAGAAAGTTGTAAAATGTCCCTGCAAACCTAGGGACTTTCAGTGGAAGGTACCTGTAGTGCTATGGACTTTTAGCTGCCACATACTGAGTTTAAGTACTGAGCTTAAGTATAGTCCTTCCCAGTGTGGGAAAGGGACCAAGATTAAAAGAGAATGATGGTTAAATCTAGATGAGTAGAAATATGTACAAAGGATATGAAAGTTTTAAACCTGGAGTAAAGGAAACCTCAACTACTTGTTTCCTAGTTTCATGGGAAAAGCAAATTTCTGGAATGTGGTTCTGTTTCTGATCAGAAACTCTGTATATACCTGAAGACCTAAGGAAGGTCACCTGTAACCGGTTGGGGAGAATGCTTTTGCCACCCGGGACCCAGGAAGGGTCATTTGGGGCTGATGAGTGTATCAGCCTGAGGCAAAGAGCATGTCTCTGCCATGAGACCGGATTGGAAGAGAGTAAGTCTCTGCCATTGGTTTTGCTTCTGATCAGAAACCCTGTGTACCTGAAGACCTAAGAAAGGTCACCTGTAACCAACTGGTTGGGGAGAATGCTTTTGCCACCTGGGACCCAGGAAGGGTCAATTGTGGCTGATGAGTGTTTCAGCCTGAGGCAAAGCAGCATGTCTCCACCAAGAGACCCGGCCTGAAGGAGCATGTCTCCATACCCGAAGACCTGTTTAAGGTCACCTGTAACCGGTTGGGGAGAATGCTTTTGCCACCTGGGACCCAGGAAGGGTCATTTGGGGCTGATAAGTGTTTCAGCCTGAGGCAAAGCAGCATGTCTCTGCCAAGAGACCGGGCCTGAAGGAGCACGTCTCCGTACCTGTATTGTAAGACCTAGTGGTCACTGTAGCCGGTTGGGGAGAGTGCCTTTGCCACCTGGGACCCAGGAAGGGTCAATTGTGGCTGATGAGTGTTTCAGCCTGAGGCAAAGAGCATGTCTCTGCCATGAGACCGGACTGGAAGAAGAGCAAGTCTCTGCCATTGGTTCTGTTTCTGATCAGAAACTCTGTATATACCTGAAGACCTAAGAAAGGTCACCTGTAACCGGTTGGGGAGAATGCTTTTGCCACCTGGGACCCAGGAAGGGTCAATTGTGGCTGATGAGCGTTTCAGCCTGAGGCAAAGCAAGATGTCTCTGCCAAGAGACTGGGCCTGAAGGAGCATGTCTCTGTGAGGCACCAGTGGATGCATTAGGTGCGAGAGAATGTCTCTACCTGTATTGTTTCGGAACACTGTGTTTCAGATTTTGCTCTGTATCTGCTCTGAAAAGGAAATTGAGGATTCCAGGAAAGATTGAAACTTCATACTCCATAGGAAAGTGAACAAGGAAAAG